ATACATCAAAGCTGTATTCATGACATATTTGAATTCATTCAATGTTGTCAAGTGCACCACAGGAAATGTAATGGTACAACTACATGCACTAACAGTTGGAAAGCAAATAGTATGGAAGGAGTCGCAATCATGGTGGAATCTGACAGATATTTTGAAATCTGCCTTCTCACTTGGCAGACAAGGTTTGTGTCCCTGGCCGGTGATCCACTGCATGACTCTTCCAACTGTCAACTTTTTATGGCCATCTTCAACTTCAGCCTCTACAGTACACAAAGACAATGTAAATGGTAAGATACGTACCAATGCTTTTATACTTACCCATGAAAACCCAGACATTACATTTTAAAGACCTGGCTGCAATGTCCCATATAAATATGTTAAACTCCCAAGTAAGAAAAAAAAAAAGTCAGAGCAGAAAGGGTATGAACTAATGTGGAATGCAAAAATGGAGATTAAGAGTATCTACAATAGTCAAAGGAAAAGAGCTTGGGACAACAAGGGGCAGGTGCTTTTCAACACCCCTTTGCATGTATGACACCTTGTTTAATCAAGAACGAAAATACTATTTGGTACGCTGAAGGGATTATCGCTCAGCTGGCCTGGGAACGCCTTGGGGTCCCCCCGGGCGAGCTAGAGAAAGTGTATGAGAGAGGGAAGTCTGGGCGTCTCTGCTTGGATTTCTGCCCCCGCCACCCGGGAAAGGAAGAAAATGGATGTATTATTGATAGCATTTACTTTTATTTTACCAAACTTGACACAAAATTACTGTTTTAGTATTAGTGTTAGTGTTATATTAATCAACGTATACTCTACCTTGTATTTAATTGTTGAGTTACAAAACTGAATTGTCCACAATGTGTATTTTTTTTTTAATTATTACCAGCGCTTCTTATATCATTTTGTGTGATTTTGCCTAAACCAAAAAGCTTACCAAGATCATCTTGATCCTCTATGTCCTGTAGAAAATCCTGAAAGAAATTCATGATGTTTACTTCTCTGGTGTATCTAACTGAGCCCTTTTCGCTGTACTCAGGGTGACACTTCTGAATGATAAAGGCGGCATCCACCTGGAAAAAAGCCAAAACTTCCGTTCAGTACAACACCAACAATATATAAAGACATTTTTTGAAACAAAGAGAATACCCCATCGTCTTCTCCAGAAACAAAAAGAGGCAGACAAATGTCAGCATTAATATGCAGAACTCTCAGCAGGCCATACAGCTGCAGGCCTTTTCTAAGCTGATCTAACATGGGGATCAGCCTCATAGTGGAGTGCAGTACAACAGATCTGAAAGCAAGAATTCAGATTTAACAATTTAACATTGTTTAACTCATAACCAGAAGCGGGTAGCGCTCTTAGCTCATTTACACGCACTTGCATAACTTTAATCTTATATTTGTGAGTTTTACTCACTAGTTGAGTAACATTTAGTTTGATGTCACACTGCTCTTACAGTTGTTACCCTTCTCACTAAAGAGTAATTTCACAAAAAACATCTAATAAAAATTACTTATAGCGCTAATGTGAGCGCATTTCAAGATCGAGAAATTTGACTTACTTCGTTTTTAATCTTCCTCTTTAGTAATTGACTACCTTCTGTCTATACATTATTGTTTTGAAGTAAAATACAACTTTTGGGTACTACCCACCTCAGCTCGTAACCAAAAACCCTTACCTGGTCATAACATCTTTTTTGTTGTCCGAAATTATCCCAGTGTATCCACAGTTCATCAATCCATCAATCAGTTCGCCAATTGTTTCATTACTTGCTTCTTGTATCTAAAAGCAGTAATATTGTTATAAACCTTTTTTAAATGTGAAAAACAAACTAACACGACAACAACCTTTGTAATGAGTTGAGAAAGTTCTATATCAGTTACATCATCTGATGTCACTTGTATGTCATCTGCATCGCCTGAACAAATATATGCATAACACCACTTTCTCATGAAGGAGGGGAGTGGTCCGCCTTGGGCAATACTCGCTGCCATTAATCTCACCAGCAGCTCTATTAATCAATCAGAAACAATTAGCAGTAAATACTCAATACAAACGAGTTGTTTCAAATCTTAAAATATGTGTAATATACGTGTTCATAATGATTAGGTGAAATGTATCACCCAGCTGCACGTCATGTAAATCAAAGTTCAACACGTGTGAAATGTACCGGAAATAGTTTTTGTCCAGGCTCCCCAGACAGTAGACTGGATTTTTCCCTTTTTTGTCCACACCACCAACAAAGAGCCTTTTCTCTATTTCTGCAATCATCTCTGTTAAAGGCAGAATATGGGGAGTGACCAAAAATATCAAACAAGGAGTTCAACAAAAGAATGAAGAAAATACCCGTTAAGAATTCCTTTCTTAGGGCACCCGTGTCAAAGCCGTTTTCCTCTATGAAAGACACCATCAGTTTGAATTTTGGAGAGGACTTCTTCTGGCGCTGCCACTGATGCATTCCTCTATTGAAAATATCACTTCTTGATACACAAATTTCAAACGTGCCATCCTGTACTTGAGAACTTATCCAGCTCAGTATTTGGTCCAAACTGAATTCTTTTTTTTAAAGGAATGAAGAAATTACAAAAATCAAAGTAGTTAAAGTTAAAAAACAAACAACCTTTGGAATGAATCGATAGAATGAACTTCAAAGTCAGAAACATCCTTGCTTGAGACAAAACCAATGTCTTCTGTGTTATTCTGGACTTCCGATCTGCAGTAACAATATCAAAAGAGCATTACACGGCAATCAGCAGTACATTCCTCAATCCTCATCCTCAAGAACCTCAATCCACACTCTGCTGCATGGACTTCTATTAGGTCTGTGCAGAACAATGTTTTACACACTGGACATTCAGTCTGGGAAAAAAGTATATATCATTTCACTATACAGAAAAAAAATAATAAATATCTGAACAGTTCACCTTGTCTTTCTTCTTTTCTGGGGACATTGCTGGCATTGGACATTCACTAAGTAGCTCCTGTAAAACGTATATGAAATAGTTGTATTTATCCAATTAATGAATATACTTTTTAAAATTAATAATTAACACACATCATCTGATGTTGACAAGTCCACAAGCTCATTTTTACATGTCTTGACATGTAGCGGAAGTGACTGAAGTGGGACCAACATGTTGCAGGTGGCACATGGAGCCTTCGGCATGAGTTTAAACTCAGGTGCATCAGGGGGTAATGGTGCCATGTCCACAGTGTCCTGAAGAGGGACAATGTACACAGTGCACTTTCCACTTCCAGTAACCGCTTTTAACTGCAGACCATGGTACCCTTCTGCTTCGGGAGGAATTATTATGAGCTCGCGTTGTCCACCTCCCCCTGTTAATAATAATGTAAAATAAATAAATATTACCTACAGTACATAAAATGATCATAAAAGTTTGACAAATGCATTTCTTTCCTGTAGACTTATGTAGCAACCAGCCTCCTCACAAGCTCAAGCTTTGGGTAGGCCTTCCAAAGCATCTCACTCAACTAGAAAAAAACAACACATTACTGGAATAATGAGAGTTAACCACAGTCAGCCAATTTCTATTAATATTGTTTATTGATGCGTTTCATGTTGCACCTTATTGTCAAAGCAAGTTAAGAGTTTGAAAATTGTGTGGCAACAATGGCAATACAAGTTTTTTCTGTTTCAAACCTATTGTACTATGTTTACAAGCATTTGTACTATGTATATCAGTGTTTCCAATCCTGGGAAATGGATTTGATACTTCAAATAAAGGCTATATGTGAGTATTTGAATGTAGAACATGTTTAGCAGTGAGTTTTACTTATTTACCTCTGTGTAAGCAAATAATCAATTTTATGTGTATAGCCCAACAAAGTAGACCTGCAGAGCTTTCCAAATAAAGACAACAGATGAATGAAAATGATTAGACAATGAATCGATGTTACTAGCATCTCCTGTCCTTAAATTATTGCAAAGTAGTAACTTGTGGTTCCAAAATGAACTTTGTTATATACTTTCTATGTACAGTATATGTCCATCACTTCATACCTGTGAGTGAGTCATCATTTCGTCAACAAGCAAAGACCGTTTTCCAAGTCCTGCTAAAAGAAGTCTTAGCTCATACTCTCCTTTTGGTGTTTTTGACTGTTTTCTGTCCAAAAAGACAAAATTAACTGAGAAGGACTTTGGTTTTCTGTGATGCTGAGTGAATCGCTTTTTCCCCCTTGCTTCCTTTCGAAAGAGCCCTGGAAAAGATCTGAAAGGGAAAAAAAACCATAGATAAAATAACAAGTAAAAGATTAGAGATGAAAGAATTACTCAAAGATGAATTGATTATTAAAATTATCGTCAAATATTTGTGTCAACTGGATGTACTGCCCGCCAGATAAAAAAAAAACAAAACAAATAACATTGCTATTACAGTTTAATTTTATTCAAATATTATTGCTGCAGGACGTCTACACAATATTCATACCTTGCCATTTCCTGATGTACCGAATGCGCCCGCAAAGGCCTGGTTGTCCCTTGGTTGTCCTCTTTCTGTCCCTGAGATGATGAGGCGCCGGATTCCCTATTGTCTATAGGTCTAACGCTAGTTATGCTGTTATTTAGCATGCTAAGCAAGTTTTGGGCCGTATTAATAATATCGGCTAGCGGGACCTAGCACACAGAAAATCCAAAAAGTCAGGCCTAATTAAATGGTTTATCATATCAATACAAATAAAGCAGATGTAATGTGTAACGAAGTAAAATGCATAATATTCTGTTGAATAAAACAATACCAGAATAAATGAATAAAACTAGCATTGGAGCTAACAACAGTGCCAAAAAAAAACGTTTCTAGAGGGGGGCAGAAACATCTTATGAACACATTTTATCGAAATAACTTTTCCAACACATTCATTTGCGACCAAAATAATAAAATAGTTATATACCTGATTCTGAGCCACGTTGATAGAGTTGCTGCCCTCTGCCATGTTTTAGATTTGCGGCAATGAAGTTGATCAACTTAGCGCAGGCTCGATTGTTAATGTCTGTGAGCAGTGACGTAATATTGACAGTTTGCTCACTGCTGAAATTCGTATTCTCAAAGAAGAAAATGCAAGCACACAAAAAAAAATCGTATTCACAAGTAAGAAATCACGCATATAGTTTTATATTTTTTTATTCTTAACTACGAAATTCCATGTCTTTTGAGTTTGTATTATCTTAATCATGAATGAATAAATTATTTGTATGCACAAATACCGATAAATGTGCACGCATTTTTTTTAAACATGCACGTCTTTATTGACAGTAACCTTACCCCATAGACCAAGGCCATGTCTTCATTGAAGGAGCTGCCATCTTCCCGTGGACCCACAACCTGCAGGAGGATCAGCGAGGTTCCGGTGCATTGCAAATTGGGTGGCAGCTCTGATTGCCACCCCATGACCCACAAATGGATGAATAAAGGGATGAAAATGAACTGAAAAAAAAAAGTCTTCTAATTTAATTTGTATCATTGGGCATTAGTTCAAGATGCATATTTGATGGAGAGGAGTGGCGTTGCGAAACAACCAATTGGGAATTAATGTTTGCCACAAATTCTGGGAACCATCAAACGAACAGTATCAGCAGGAGTTGACGTGGTTCATATGAAACTGATCTGATGAGCATTCTGAACATGAGTGAATGGATGGTGTTGGTGGGGGGGCTTTGATGCGCCAGTGTGTTCAGGATCTCGCTTCCGTCATCCCAGTGTGTGGATTATGATATCTGAATTATGAACCTTGTAAAGCATTTTGGGTAACGTTTGTCTGTAAAAATGTAAATAAAGAAAAGGTATTTACTTACTTGGGACCAACATTTAAAAAAGGAACAAATCAATTCAAGGCTGAAAGTCACCAGAATGCAGAAAATTGCATCACCAGACCATTCGAAAGCGATTGAATGCCAATGTATATTGCACCATTATGTGAAGCTATGTAGCTAGTCAAAGACATTTTTTGAGATTTCTGCCAATTGGTGTTGGAGACACCAATTAAGCTGTTAAAAAAATTGAGCTGTCAAAATAAGGAGAGAAGTGGTGGCAGAGATCCGGTGTCTTCTCTGCGGCTTCACAAGTAAAGCTTTGTCAGAAGTCCTTATTTAAGGCCAAAATAACAATTTTAGCATGCAGGCACTCCCTCTGCTTAGAACGCCTTTGTCACTCCTCAATACTGTAGTAGTTTATTGTGTTTTGGAGAAAAAGGAGTGGATAGTGCGCTGAGGCTGGAGGGCTCAAAGGTGATGTCTTGATCAACAGGGCGGGGGTAGGCAATGGCTTTAGAGGTCTCTGTAGTAATGCAGATCTACACGCTTGACTGATTCAACAGTACAGGCGCTTGGAAGCTAAACGTTCTGCCTCTTAGTGTGATTTTAGACACTCCAGGAACCACCAACGGTTTTGTGCTTTGAGATAATTGTGCATTTTTGTAACGATACTCATGCATATTGGAGGTAATGGGCTAGAATCATTTATAGGTTCTACCTGGTTTAAGCTTGTGTCACGTTAACTTTATAAAGTTAACGTAAAATAACTTTTAAAGTATATATATTAGAGCTGTCAAACGGTTAATTTTTTTTATTGAGTTAATTACAGCTTAAAAAATAATTATTCGTAATTAATCGGATTTCTAATATTGCAAAATTATGCCATATTTTTCTGTAAATGGTCGTTTGAAAGGAAAGATAAATGACAACATAGTGTACATTCTGTCTGTCTGTAGCAGACACAGACAAAACTATTGTTTATTACAGGAATGAGGGACATTTCACAACAGTCTGAAATACAGAATGTCATTAAATCTGTTTGATTTGTTCACAACATTTTACTTTTGGGCACAACCAACATGAACTGGAACTGAAGTGGAAGGGAAAAATTAGGTACCCCAGCTTTTATTTAGCGAGTTTAGATGCGCTTCAGGAGAAGACACGGAGGAGACTGAGGCTCCTTAGTCCAGCTTCAGCGGTGTATTTATTGCATTCACAGGTTAAGCAAAGACATGCACGCAGGGCCAGCCCTAGGTCATCAGGCGAAAATAAATTAAGGCGTCCCTTGTAGAGGGCATCACAATGAACACAATGAGAAGCCAAGGTAATTCCCGCGGCTTCTCTTTCCACTTTTACAAAAGAAACAGCGATGAGGGCCACCCGCTGTTAATCAGTGTTGGGCAAGTTACTTCAAAAACATAGTACATTATGTATTACTTATTACTGTTATTTCAAAATAATGTCTTACACTACAATTACTGTATCCGAATTGTAATGCATTACACTACTACTGCATTACTTTTAAGTTACTTTCTCCAAATATATACAGTAAAAAAAAGGATTAGGATTAGACCATCTCAAGTCATATTAATTTCAGTCTAATAATCGAAGGGGTTGTTCAACATGGGGTAAACTGGTTAATCCTGGTTCAGTCCTGGCTCAGTCCTGGTTCACAGCAGCTCACCGCTGTATATACTAAACATGATTAGGGGTGCATCATTTTTGCCGCTATTTAAAATTCGGCGCTCATTGTGCACATATTTTCCGCCCGTTGCGTAGTGCCTGCCTCTGTCTCAAACAGGACTCTGTAGAGAGTCATATCTCTGTGAAAACCGTTTTTCATTCTCTTCTTTTCTTCTGTGTTTATTGGCTGCACCTGACGTCTTAGATTGCCTTTTCATAATAACGTTGAACAAAAACACCAACCGCTGACCAAAAACACGTCCAGCTATCTGTCACTTTCTGGAATGCGCCAGGCTGCCCTAGGGTGCAGCCTACAGCAGCAGGGTTCAATGATGACAATTTTTATTAAGTTTATAATATACATATAGTTTTTTTAAATCAAATGTGATGGGAAACACTTTGCAGAATAATTTAAACAATAAACGTTTTTTTTTTTTTTTTTGTTTTTTTTTTAAGACTGCAATTTTGTGCCCCATCCTGCAGATGGCGCCCCAGGCGACCACCTGGGTCGCCTATGCCCTGGGCCGGCCCTGCATGCACGCAACAAGCAGAGAATACTTATGTGACGTGTATGGTCTTGTGTCTATGGTCCTGTGGCGTGTATGCTCTTGGATATGACCACGTTACGTCGGCGCTGTGTGAAAGCGGTCCATGCTTACAGCTGCTGGAGGCGGAAACCGCTGTCCAGAGCGGCCGCAGCTGCACCGAGCAGCCACAGCTGCCCCGGGTCAGAACGCTGCGGCCACGGAGGATGAGGACTCCCGTTTGAGCTATACAGCTAACAACGACAAGGGCCCCTCGGTCAAGTGCCTATTCTTTTCAAACTTTAATTCCCAGAGGGCCTACCTGCTCTGTTGCCATCTTACACACGCATGTTACTGCGGCACTTGAGTATTGTTATTATTGACAGCCCTAATATTTATATATTTATTTATATATTTATAATATATATGTATTCACCCGTGGAGGGCGAATGTGTGAGTGTGGTTTTTAAAAAATGTATAATATATAGGATAAATTACAATACTTATTATTGACAATTTATTGTATTGTATTGTTTAATAGTATAACACATCAATTACTTAAGTACATATTCTCAAGATAAAGTTTAGGATTTTCAACGCTTCTGCCTTCACTAAGAGCTAAAGTCGGATTCAGGTCCTTTACTCATTTCTGGTTGATGTCTGGCTGAACAGCATGGCCCTAGAATCGTAGCTATTTCATCTAATTGCATCAGACTTCATTAACTATAACACAATTAGGAGACAAAGAGGAGCAGAAAAAATCAGGAACAGAGTAGAAGAGGAGTAATGAGAGAGGAGGACTTCATTATAGTCTTTTCTCACAAACAAGCTATGTATTAAATATAAGTAAAGACTTGGAAATGGTGTCAATTGTGTGGGATGCCATGAAAAGGAGGGGGGTGACCACAGTCAATAAATGTCCATAAATGTAAATTAATGTCCCTGATCCTCCTGCATCAACAAGGAACCACTCACAAACCCAGTGAAACATTTGAGAAAACTTGGGGAGGCCCATATTGAGAGAGGGATCCGCTTCTCGCTATAGATCCAGTATCCAGGCCGTAGAACAAGGACTGAAGTCAGAACTGAACCTCATTGTAAAGCTCAGGACCTTTGGAATCCAATCGGAATCCACTCAGATTTGTTTCCATATGGTGTTCAATAAAGACATATCACACTCTATTTGAAAGCCCAGAACAGCCAGAATCCTGTCTTTTTTTTTTTTTACAAAGCTTGTTACTGGCCCTTTAACAAGTCTGAGTAAATAAAGAAGCCCTTTTTTACAAGGTCTGGACACCTCTGCCGTAGAGATATGAGAAAACTAGTATACTATCCAAACATGAGTGCACATGATACACACTTGTGACCTAAACTATTTGCCCATAATTTAATTTCCAGATGGCCGATAGGAGAAGCATGCGGGATGTGCTGCATGTGACCCATTAAACAGTTTGATTTGTACATAAAAAGGACTGCATTTTCTCCTCTCCACAACAGATAGGCTCTGCCCTCTGCCGATGTTGGACTAAAAAGGTCAAACTGAATGGGTTTGTGTGTTGAAAATTGACAGAGCAATCGTACACTGTGATCTAATTTGAATCTTTGTGTCCTTGGCCTCTCGTCAGTGCTCATTGTCGTCTGAGACAAGAGTGCGCTTCATGTCTCATACTGCCATTCACATATAACTGATGGTCTAAAAGAAATGCCTTAAAGGTAATATAATGGACTTTTCACAGAATTAATAAGGTAATTAATTTTTTTCGGAGGAAAACATGCTGATCGCTAACTTGAACTGTGGTCTGAGTGGAGCTTGCAGATTATGTTTTTTAACAGTTGCTCCATATGAAAAACATGTTAACTAATAATAAATGTGACCTTTTAAAGAATATTTACCTACACCTTGTTTTTTTAATTGTATTCATAGGCTTAGAATTTAACTTATAAATGTCCAAGAGAGCAGAGTACTCTCTGTGTCG